ATTTAAAAACATCTCATTGCAGGAAAATAGGTATGAGCTATATTAGCACAGAGTCCAAGTTCCAAATGCAGAGTTAGTTTGGTTTTTTCTTTTCCAATCTAGAAATGTAGCACACTCAGCTGTCCGTGTGTAATGGTTCTGTATTAGTGAGTTCAGCTAACTGCAGATTGAAAATGTTTGGAAAGACATTTTACCTGTGTGAAGCGCGTGCTGCATTTTTTGTCCTGGCTCTCTAAATAACGCAGCATAACAGTTTTTCGTATAGCATGTACATCAGGTTAGGCGTTCAGAGTAATCTGAAGTGCAGGGGAGCGCAGATGTAGGTTATTTCCAAGTGCTGCGCTACTTTATGTGCAGGACTTGTGCATCTGGGAACCACAATATTCATGGACCCAGGTCCCCAAGGACACCCAGGGACAGCTGACCATGGTGACTACAAGATCTGTTTAAAAATTGCATGGGCCTCGGCACTGCCCAAGATATTTGAGTTCAGTATGAAGCAACTTAAGCCACACTTCTGCCTCCCTGTACACAACCACTTTTCCCAAGTTCAAACAAAAACTACGTATCCACATACATCTAATGCACACAATATGTATACAGTATATATGCACACATGAAAATACACACATAAATACATCCAATATGTATGTAATATGTACACTTAAAAAGGTTTTTAATTATTTATTTGTGTGGTGCAAGGTCTTGTTATGCAGCTCTGACTCGTAGCGATCCTCCTGTCTTAGCCTTCCCAGTGCTGGGATTACAACCATGTGCCACCATCCCTGGTTTTGGTGGCTGGCAGGAGGCACCCGAGGTTCCAGGGCCAGCATATGGTACTGGGAATCAAACCCGGGTCCTTCTGCTTGCCTAGCAGGTGGTTAGACTGCCAAGCTATCTCCCCAGCCCCATAATATATACTCTTATCTGGATGATTTTCTCAAAATGTAGAGCTCAAGGAAATTTAGAAAGCTACGCAGTTGCTGATTTTGACAACACATTGTACACTATGGAAGTTTATTGAGCTACAGTGAAAATCCAGCTTTAAACCCATGTACTTGTCTTCTGTGTTTCCTTGTGTCCCTTTCATTTGAAGTTCTAGAATTATCAATGAATATTAACATATACAAAGTATAAAGTGTTTCTTATGTTAAACTGAATGAGTCTCCCCTTTTTCCACAACTTCATTCCCCTTCTTAGAAATAACTACTGTTAAGTTTGGAATATGTTTTCCCAGGTATTTTCTGTATGTATGTTAAACATGTATGGAATCATCCTAGGTCTAGGTATATATGTAAATATGCATAGATACACGGGTGGAGGGACAGATAATTGGGCGGGTGGATGGATAACGCGTGGATGAGTGGATGAATGGCCTGGGAGGAGACCGGTGAAGGGGGAGCGGATGATGGGTGGAAGAGGCCTGTGTCATTCCCCTAATGATAGAGCACTGCTCTGTCTGCGCGGTGACAGGGTGGTGCTGAAGGGTCCGTCTTGGCCCTTTACAGCCAGTGTGCAGGGCCTTGAATGAGTTTGAAATTGGCTTTGGTATTTAAATATGGAATTTGAGTCAGACATTGTACATTTTAGAAGAATTTTCATTTCTAATTGTAGCATGTCATCAACTATTAATTCTTAACTTTGTTCCCCTTCAGTTAATTATGAAGGCCTTGCCAAAAATCTCTCCGTGAGTATCTTTATTTTCCATTATCTGGTTATTGTCAATTTTGTGTATGTAGAAAAGGGGTTCAATGTCTATGGTTAGGATTAGAATATTTTAGTATATGGGCCAATATCGCTGGCTCTTAAAGGTCTTTGGGGACATGTCCCAATAATCAATGCCTGAAGGTTTTTCAGAATATACTTGCTAGTTCTATAAAAATATATGACAGTACTCAAAATAATTGAAAAAATGTAAAGAAAAACACATGGCTGTACTGTTATAAACTGGTTAGCTTTTTGACGGTTTTCTTCTGAGCCAGGCTTGGAGGTGCCTACCTGTAATCCTAACACTCTGGGAGGCTGTGACAGGAGGGTCACAAACTCAAGCTCAGAGCAGGCAAAAGAATGACTTAGCAGGATACTGTCTTGAAGTAAAAAATGTTTAAAACAGCTGAAAATAATAGGTCAGCGTGAATGCCATAGGCTCAGTTTCTGGTACTGCAAAGAGAGAAGGAAGGGAAGAAGGGAGGAAGGAAAGAAAGAAGAAAAGAGAAGGAAATAAGATTAATCCTAGCAGTCATGACTTCATTGTGGTCTTGGGTAACCAAGTGACACAGTCAAAGAGCCCTAGGGTGCAATAACAATTATGATATCTAATAAAAACTCAACTGACTTGGAATATTTACCTTGTAAAGTATACAACTAGCAAGGAAGTTTTTATTTTATTTTTCAGTAGTGGTGATTGACCCTAAGGCCTTAACACTGAACTACATGCCCAGTGCTTTGTTTTTATTTTATTTTATTTATTTGGTACAGGCTCTACACAGCTTGGGCTTTAGTGATTCTCCTGTTTTCAGCCTCCACAGTTCTGGGATGACAGGCACATACCATCACTCCTGGACTCTGTTGCTGGCTCAGCATGCCCAGGGGTGGGGCCAGCATGACGTGGTGTGGGGGATCGAAACCTGGTCCCTGCACTTGCCTAAGCAGGCACCTAGTCCACTGAGCTATCTCGCCAGCCCTGTCCTATTTTATTTCTTGAGACTGTCTAAATCACTCAGGCTGGGCTTATCCTTGTATCCTGCCTCAGCCTCCCAGAATGCAAGAACTGTTCTTTTTCTATCTGTGACCAGGCAGGCTGGTAAAGTGTGAGAAAAAACTTACATGGAATTAAAAGGAATTTCAAGAGAGGTTTGCAGTTTTTCCAGCACGGAAATAATAGCATGCTTTTGTTCTTGTTCTGACCTTTCGCACTCGCAGTGTCTCGAGCCCAAGCAGCACTTCAAACCTTACCTGAAACAGTTCCTGCCCAAGCGTTTTCACTTTGCCAAAAGCAACAGGATCGAGCCCCTGATGTTCTACCTGGACCCGCAGTGGCAACTTGCACTGTAAGTTCTGCAGTCTCCCTGGTAGAGAGCGTAGCTGGCCTTTCAGTAACCCAGGGCAACCAGTGGGCCTTTTCTAACGATGGTGCCATGTGAAAGTTCTACAAATAGGATTCTCTTTCCTGGACCCAGGATTTCTTAACTTTGGCCTACTAATTTTTTGCTTGTTTGAGATTGAATCTTACTCTGTGGTGCAGGCTGGCCTAGGACTCTCGGTGATCCTCCTGCTTCAGCCTCCCAAGTGCTGGGATGATTTGTACTCTCATAGGAGAATTAATACTTAGTGGCTATCTGAGTACCATATGCCAAACATTTTTTTTTTTTTAAATTATTTATTTGGCACAGGCTCTCACTCACGGCTCAGAGTCATAGTGATCCTCCTGTTTCCAGCCTCTCCAGTGCTGGGATTGCAGGCATGCACCACCACACTGGGTCTTGGTGGCTGGCTCAGCGTACCCAGGGGTGGTGCCAACCATGGCATATGGTGCCAGGAATTGAACTGGGACCCTGCACTTGCCAAGCAGGCACTTAGTCTGCTGAGCTATCTCACTAGCCCATGCCAAGCATTTTTTCACCCTGTATCTTTGAAGTTTTACAAATGATCTGCATGAGACATTGAAAGAAGACAGTTAAATCTGTGTGAAGTCACAGCTAGTTGATACCGTAGTCATAGGGTTCAGATGCACGTCACCTAAGGCCTGGCCACCTCTTTTACTTCATGGATAAGTCAGCTCTTAAGCGCTGTGGCCCAGAGAAGAGAGACCAGGATCTGGGCCTGATGGTGCCCACCTGTGATCCCAGCACTTGGGAGACGGAGGCAGGAGGATCACGATGAGTTTGAGGCCAGCTTGAGCTACAGGGAGACTTCTGTCTCAAAGAAACTGAGACAAAATAAAATAAAATAACCCCCCAAAAGAAAAAAAGCAAGATATTTCAAAGCTAAGTTATTTAATTTACTTTATGTTGGCTTAGCAAATCCTTCCTTGATCTACATACGTGAGTACGCTGTCTCAGGAGTTCTGCTTTGAAATCCTTCTCTCATTTCTAACATGATACTCATATTATGTCAAGATGAGAATTATGCCTCCAAAAGGAATTTTGATCAGATACTATATGGGCTATCTGCTTGGAAGGAATTGTACGGGACAAGATTGAGTAATTTGGGTAATTACTACATTTTCACTGTGTTTACTAAATGTCTTCTTTCTGTTTATGTAAACTGTTGGCAATCATTTGTCTAAATAATATAAATTTAAAAATAAATCAAAGAGTGAAATAAAAGGTAAAAGAAAACCAAAACAGTTACTTTTTTTTTTATTAATGAAGAAGTTATAGTTACTGATTATGTGAGTAGATTTCACATTATTGATCCGCACATGTTAAAACAGGAGTCCCACGGAGAGGAAGCCCTGTGGAGGCGGGTTTCATGGCTCTGACAATGTATTTTCAAATATGCAAGTAAGTGAAACTTTCATTCTTTAAGAAAAAATAGAGCTAAGCCTGAAGAGAAGCTAATATATAAAGTGGGAGATTTAAAAGCACAGGTTATGATTTTTTTCTTAAACATATTTTATATTGCTGTCTTTCTTTGGAAAATAAAGAATTTTATTACTATTTTATATTCATGTTTCATGAATCTGTTGGGGTAACATTCACTAAATTGCTAATAGTTATTTGTGCACCAGTAAGTGGATGACCCCACTACAGAAGAAAGCCAGGGCTGTAGCTGATGAAAAGGAATCATACCTATATGTTCTGAAAAGAGATATCTTTTATTTTATTTATTTTTTTTTTCAGCACTAGGGATTGAACCTGGGACCTTGGGGTTGAACTGTCCCCCAGGTCTTCCCCGCCCCCCTTTGGGACACTATCTTGCTATATTGCCTGGGCTGGACTTGAATTTGCAGTCCTCCTGCATCAGCCTCCCAGAGTGGGGAGATTGCATACATGCTTGCCTTGCGCTTATAAGTTTGAAAAAAAAAAAAAAAAGTTAAATTGTTCCCTGCAGCACCATGGGAAGTGGGCATGGTGAGACTAATACTGTATGCCATTTTGGACAAGAGAGAGGAGTCCGCTGTCCATTCTGTCCTGCTCCTCAAATCAGGGAGTATAGTAAAACTAAGAGAAGAGTTTGAGGTGTCGTTAGGTTGTACATATAATAATGGAGTTTAGAACAACATCCCGCGAGGTCTGCCAAGCCAGGACATCTCCCCACCTTAACATACTTCCAAGGCTCCTAATACCCGTTTTTGCACCACCTCTGCATGTAGCTGAACTGCACTGACAAAAGTGTTACTGCTCTTGCCAACCCAGGCTCTCTTTATTGGCTATGGACCTGGATTCAAGCACAGTGTGGAGGTTGACGCCTTTGAAAACATTGAAGTCTATAACTTAATGTGTGGTGAGTGTGAACGGGAGGAGGGGAGAGTTGAGGAGGACAGTGCCGAGCAGTCACGCACTGGGCCCTGGGGGGTGTGGTGGTGGAGGAGGACGGACCCTCGCATTTTCCCTTTCCTCTTCTGATCGAGATGCAACTGAAAATAAAATGTGCAGCGTTGCTTCTCGTTGCTCGTGTGACATCATCTGGGTGGAGTCAGTGCTCAGGGGGGTCTCTGCACAGTGCTGGGCCTTGGGGTTCAATTCTATAACTCCTGGGTCAGAGGAGCGCTAGGAGCAAAAGGGTGGAGTTTGGGGACAGTGAGAGGAGAGCAAAATGGCAGAACTTCTGGTAGTAGTAACAGCTGAACAGATGGCAATGTCCAGGTTGTAAGAACAAAGGCAGGGCTGTAAGGCCTGTTGTTTTTTTTTCCCCCTGGTACCAGGAATCAAACTTGGGACCTTGTGCTTGCCTGCCAGGTAGGCGATTAAGCCATTGAGCTATCTCCCTGGCCCTAAATTATTTGTAATGCTGGAATTGAACCTAGGGCTTTTTTTTTTTTTGGTAGTACCAGGGATTGAACTCAGGATCTTGAGCTTGCCAGGCAAGCACTTATTCCACTGAGCTATCTCCCCAGCCCAAGGCCTGTTCTTAGTCTGTGGAGAGCATTGGGTTTTATGTACTGTTCCCTTTTTGTGTTGATAACGGGCATTTGCAAGACTCTTTATGTCCTGAGTATGAAATTCTTTGACCAATAGCCAATCACTTTAAATGAGTTGTACATCCTGAAATACTCAGATCCATGGCTGATATGTAGTACTTCTTGGCTATTATTATTATTGTAGAACTTAGAAATTTTTATAGAGAAGTAGTACATACATGCCAGCATTTCTTATCAGAATAGCCTACTTACAAGTAGTTTAAAAGCCAAGAAAGTCTTAGTTTTAGTTAAAAGGGCAAAGGAGATCTGTGTTTGTCTCTGCCTCTCTCTCTAGTTAGATATCTGTCTGTCTGTCTTTCTATCTATCTCTATCTATCTATCTATCTATCTATCTATCTATCTATCTATCTATCTATCATCTGTCTGTCACCTGTCTGTGTCTATCGGCCTATCTACCTATCCTACCTATCTGTCGAACTACCTATTTGTTTTGCAAACCGTGCAAACCATAGCATAAGTCTACCCACTCACTTGGTTTGAACTTCTAAGTAGCTCTTTCCCATTCTTGGAATTACGCAGATTTACTGAACTTAACACCTGCTCCGAATAATGGAACTCACGGAAGTCTTAACCATCTCCTAAAGCATCCCGTTTACACCCCAGAACACCCCAAAGAAGTACAGCCCCCAGCGAGCTGCCCCATCACAGGGACCCCCAGAGACAACCTGGGCTGCTCCTGTGACCCCTCGGTGAGTAGCTCTGAGAGGCGCAGCCCGCATCCTCTGCTGAGAACTACAGATGCTTAGCGAACACTGAGCGCCGGGGCAGGCCAGCTTGCAATTGCTCTGTACCCCAGCACCACTTATTTCCTCCACTTTGCATCCTTCTTCAGTTGGTTTTATCGTCTGGTGCTCTGAGGGGTTGAGTAAGCTCATTGCAGAGTTCTCTCTAAAATAGCCCAACCTCGAGTAAATTTAGGGGAAAGTAGCATTTTTGTATAAAATGGATCTATGATGCTGCTCTTTTTATCTTATCTCCACAGGATTTTTAAGTATATCTTAGTAATTATAAGTAAACCTTAATAATTAGTATTAGTACTAGTATTGTAAGTAAGCTTAGTAATCAGTATCCAATAAGTATCTTAGCAGCTACTGCAAGAAGATAAAAATACCTGGTGTTAGGAACCAAATGGACCTCAGTGGTGAGGGTAGCCTGCAGTGGGAGGTGCCCATGTTGTTCTCCCTGTTACCTGTCAGGCCTGGTTTAGGCACCTCGAGAGCTACTGGAGAAGGGACAAGAATCCAAAGCAGGGCCTTGTCTTATTAGTCATTTCTCCTAGCCTCATCAATGGAAAAGAAAACATTTTAGTCAGAGGAGTCTTGGAATCTCACCTCTGTTCCATGTTGGGTTAGTTGGGCTTGGGTTGTGAGGGGGCTGGTGACAGTCCCTTTGTGCCTCCTCAGCCCTAACAGAGTTTTCTGAACTTGTTTTTAGATTTTGCCTATTGGTGATTTTCAGATGCAGTTTAATCTGACCAGGACGGAAGGTAACGCATGGAACTCCCCAATGGAAGAGGGGGGACAGCTCATGCTCAGCAGCAGGAGCCGCAGAGCATTGGTTTAGGGCCTCATTTAGGGGTGACCGGCAAACAGAGACCCACATGGTGAAACACAGCTCTTGCTTTACCTGAGTCTGGGCTGTTAGGCAGAAGGGAAGAAGGGCCATTTTACAGTGAAAGGGTGTATGACACTGTCACTTAAATCCAGGTCACTATGTGCACACTGTAGAAGGGCTTTGAAATTTTGAAGATTTTTATGTTTTCTGTGGAGTCTTACATTTTCATTTAATGTACCAGCTCATGCCAGGTGTGGTGCTGCATACCTGTAATACCAGCCCTAGGGAGGCTGAGGTGGGAGGAACCCTGCAGGATCAGGGCCAGCCTGAACTACACACAGGGACACCCTCTCTCAGAAAGGCAAAGCATACAAACAAAATGCCAGCTTGGTATATATCTCCAGGTTTTTAACTAATTATAAGAGGTTATATATATATATATATATATTTTTTTTTTTTTTTTTTTTCGTTTGTGTATTTGGTACAGGGTCTCACTACACAGCTCACACTTGTAGTGATCCTCCTGTTTTCAGCCGCCCCAGCACTGGGATTGTAGGTGTGTGCTACTACAGTTTGCTGGCTCAGCGCACCCTACAGGCAGGGGCTGGTGTGGCATGCGGGACCAGGGATCGAACCTTGGTTCCTGCGCATGCCATAGCAGGTGCTTACTCCGCTGAGCTATCTTGCGGGCCCTATGAGAGGTTATAAATTGACTTCTTTACCCAGGGGTTATTTCTTTTAACTTTTGAATGAAAATTAAGAACATATAGGTGGCTGATGAGATTCTTCAGACTTGGCTAGGATGGTCAGAGCCACTCGGATACAATCTCTGATCCTTCAATTACCTGACTCATTTTTGTCTTGCTGGAAGATAGAGGTGTATAGTCTGCTTTAATCCTGACATGAGCCTGCCTGCATAAAACTCCTACTCTAAATGCTGGGTGGCAGAATCCTTTTATCTCCAGTGTGGCTGAGTGTAAACAGTGACACGTTCAGAATGGAGTGGACCCACCCTTGAACGTGAGCTTAGCAGCCCTGTGTCGTGGAAGAAGGCTTTTTTCTCTGTGAGCTTCTGTTTCCTCCTGAGTAAAACAGATGCATGACCTTAATTCACTGGGAGATGTAGGAATCAATTAGGTGGTGGAAGCGTCTCACAGAGCATTAGCTGTTTGGGAAGGGGCAGCAGATGCCTCCATTGTTTCCCTCGGTTGTTCTCAGCTTCGGTTCTGAATCCTGTGCTTTCTAAGTTCCCGTACGAGCTTTGTGCAGCAGCACATCCTAATGAATGGGCGATCAACGTAATGTTAAAAACTTGGTGATGCGAGTCCTACTTGGAATTTCTAACAATTTCATATAGTATCTCCTTGTAAACCTTGATAACACGTTGATCTCTCAGTATCTTTATAAGCAAAAATTGCCGCCAACCACATTGCTTTTGTTAATTTTTTATGGTTCCTGCTTTTTTTTTCTTTTGAGACAGGGTTTTGCTTGATACATAGTTCTGGCTGGCCTTGAGCTCATGGTGATCCTCCTGCCTCAGCCTTCCAAGGGCTGGGAACCACCAGCATGTGCCACCTCGCCCAGCTACTCTTAATGAGTTGCTTTTTTTATTTTTATTATTTTAACTGAAAACAGTTTTTCAACACGCTGAAGTAGAGGAAAGGGTCAGAGGAGCGTATGACCATGTATTATTCACAGTGCACATGAGTTGCATTTAAATGGTGGCTTCCTTTTTCCTCTGGGGCTCCAGAGAAGAACGTGGACCGCGGAGCTCTGCCCTACGGAAGGCCCCGGGCTGTGGAGAGGAAGAGCGTGTGTCTGCTCTATCACCACCAGTTTGTGAGCGGGTACAGCCGCGACATCCTCATGCCCCTCTGGACGTCCTACACCGTGGACAAAAATGCAAGTGTCTGCTGTTTCTCTGGCCCTGCAGGGGCTTCAGGTTATACTGTTAGCAAAAGCTTGGCAGCAAGCCTGTCGCTGTGGTGCAGGCCCCAGAGTGGGGAGACGCTGGGTGGGAAAGCAGAAAAGGTGGGTTCTGCAGTCGATGCGCCCCTTGCGAGCTGTGCGGCTCTGAGACACCACAGAGCAGAGGCCGCCGAGATGGGAAGCGTGTGCCAATTTGGTCCTTGTTTTAATATTGAAGACTGATTTATAGTTTAATAGTTTTTGGCTTCTCTCAGGATATCAACTGGATTGAATGAATACAGTTGCTGTTAATACTCAATGATAAATGAAAAGACAGGGTGTGTACATACGTAATTTCTGTGTTAAAAATATAACATGCACTTGCACATATTATTTTGAACCTTACGTAAAAAATTTTAAAGAACACTTCGAGATGCTGGTTTTCACTTGGCTTCCTAATATGTAGCGTCCACCAGATTTTGGGCGGCACCTCTTATATTTGTTGTTGTTTAACGCCTTAATTATGGTGCTCATTGATTCTGGTTAACTTTTCAGCTTTCCGAAGCTACCTGAATTCATAGTTGTCACTACTTCTGGGGTTGTCCCTTGCTTGTAAATGGCTTTCCTCCCTTCTCCCAGAGACGTGTGGCAGCGCAGGGGGTGTGCAGAGCAGCATTGTGCTGCGTGACACGCTGAAAATTGTAATTTAAAACTGAAATGCAATGTGCGCAGTGTAGGAAGATGTTAGCACGTTTGTGGCAAGGGATTAGCGTCCTGAAACTTGTAACAGATCTTCACCTTTCAGTTAGAGAAAAGGTGGCTGTGGACCAGTGGAGGACAGCAAGGGTGGACGCACAGGTCTCCTGTGCCCTCCCGTGCCTAATGCCTGCGGCCTGTTGGCCCCTCTCCTCCAGGATGTGCTCTCTGCAGGGGACTTCTCCAACTGCGTGTACCAGGACCTGCGGATCCCCCTGAGTCCTGTCCATAAATGCTCCTTTTATAAAAACAACGCCAAACTGAGCTACGGGTTCCTCACCCCCCCACGTAAGCCTCTGCCTCCCCACGCCCCCTCTCTGCGTCCTCTTTCATGCCTCACTGCCCAGATGGGCCCTGCAGCTCAGAGACGTTTGGGGGCAGCAGGTGCTCTTCTGGGCCGGAGAGGGTCCTGTCCCCTCACCGTGAAGGCTCAGGAAGGGAGATTGCCTGCGCGATGCCGTCAGCCAAAAGTGGACAAATCACGTGACGCTTGAATGTGCTTCCTTTGCGGGTCTTCTTGTTGTACTTTCTATCTCTTTGACGAATTGTCCTGAAAAAAGGAGAAATTAAAAAAGTTTAAGGGGTGACTCTAACGCATCTGCCTTTCTTTCAGTAGCAGGGAGGCCCTTCCTGCTAACTTTGTATGAATTCCCCCCACCCTACACCGGGAGAAACTCTAACTTTGAATGTTAGGTTCAAAGAATAAAAAATTGTTCTGTGTTTTTATTTTTAGAACTGAGTAAATATTCAAGCCAAATATATTCTGAAGCATTACTTACTACTAATATCGTGCCAATGTACCAGAGTTTTCAAGGTAAAAAATTTTGACTTTATAATTTCAGTATATATGGGTATTTTTATTTAATAGGATTTGTGGACTAAATCAAATAAATAAATAAATATCAAATACATTGCTGAAGGTTTGTTTAATATGAGCTGGGCATGACCTATAATCCCAACCTCTGGGAGGCATAACCATGAATTCAAGGCCAGCCTGAACTACAGGGTGAGACCCTGACTAAAAAAAAAAAAAAAAAAAAAGAAATACAAAAAGCTTTTACTTTGAAAATACATGCAGGTAAACTCTCTAAATATTAGAATTATCTTCTAAGGTCTGGTCTACTGTCTCGCTATGTAGCTCAGGCTGGCCTGGAGTAGCCCAGGCTGGTCTTGAACTCCCAGTGATCCTCCTGCCTCAGTCTCTTAAGTACTCCACCATGGCCAGATGTATATTTAAAAGTTTCTAAACATTTTTGACAGAAAAGTATGTAACACTCTTGTTAAAGTTATCTAGCTAACACGATCAACTCATACATACTGTACAAGGAAACTGAGAGGAAGACCTGTTGGAAATGCACAAGGGAACTAGAAGAAAGGTTGGGGTCAGAGGGGAGGTAAAGGGATCAAAAGTAGTCAAGGTGGGCTGTGTCCATGTGCCAGTCCCCCCGAAGTGAAGGGGAGTGTGAGGTATTGTGAGCATTCCATAATGAAAGAGTGAAAAGAACTCATATGTAACATTTCATCTGCTTCCCAAATTGTTAATTCCTAGTGGTTTTTATTTTGAAAATAAATAGAACTTACATCATCAACTGTTGTAGCGTTCCACACCTACAGGCAAAACCCACACATTCACACTTAATCCGACTTGTGCATGTTTACGTAGAGCCTCTAAGGTGTCTTCTTTGCGTCCACACCCTTGTGCGTGTGTCAGAGGGAAGATTCAGGCAGTGACAGTCCGTCCAACGTGGTCGTGGGGCTGATGTGTTTCACGGGTAGCGTGCTGGCTGTCCTTGCAGACCTCTGTCATCCTTCTCATTTTAGTTATCTGGCGCTACTTTCACAATACCCTCCTGCTGAGGCTCGCCAAGGAGAGGAACGGCGTCAACGTGGTCAGTGGCCCCGTGTTTGACTCCGACTATGACGGCCACAGCGACTCCGGGGAGACTCTGAGGCAGTAAGGATGGGCGATGTCATGCTTGCAGGTGGCCGTTGGTGGCCTGGCCCTGTGGTGGGGCTGCAGGGCCCTTCCGGCCAACACTGCTCGGCTCTGCTCTGTGTACAGGATGTTGCTGAGCATAACAAAATGCGTGGGGTCTCTGATTTTGAGGTCTTGCTCAATGTTTGGTACAATACTCTTTCTGTGTGAGGAGTAGTTGGTTGGGTTGAGTGTTTCTCAAGCCCCATTTGTTGTTGTCTTTTTGAGACAGGGTCTCTGTGCATCTCAGGCTGGCCTTGAGCTCACTTTCTAGCTGAGGCTGGTCTGAACTCTCAACAGTCCTCCTGCCTCAGCCTCCAAGCGCTGGGATTACAGGCATGGGCCACCACACCTGGCTTGGAGTGTCTTGTTCTTATTCTCAATCTGGCAGAGTACACTGGGGTTTTGGGATTAACCCAATCTCATATAGCACATTTCATTATTTGGCTCAATTTGAACTTACGATTTATTGAAAGTGTGCTCTGTTGAAATGTTCCTTAAAAATATCTCTGTTCAGAAGGTCCTTGCCTATGCCTGTGACTTCAGGAATTTCACCTAATTTTTCTTTTAACAGATTGTTTCTGTCTTAATGTTTAGATCTTTAAACTGGTTAGATTTTCACTTAGTGCCTGGTAAGAGATATGCGTCTACCTTTTATCTTCTGCACTAGGTAGCCAGTTGTCCCAGCATCACTTGTTTAAAAGGCCATCTCT